CAACCTCCTCATAGTCAGGTGTGTCCTCGGCCACAAGATTGTCCAGTGACTGTAACACCTGCTGGTAGACCTGTTTTGTAAGTCGCACATGCAGGGGTTGGGTGAGACAGGCCTCCACCATGAGCCAAGTGACCTCTTGCGTGGAATCATCGGCCACCGATAAGAGGACTTCTGGCGCCGGCGGCGAGTCGTCTTCTGTATCAAGGAAGGGAATTTTGGGAGATTCGGCATCAAAGTCCATGGGCCAGTTGATAGGAGTGGAACAGGAGACGGTGGACTTGGGCAAAATAGCCTTGCATTTGGACAACTGAGAGGGCGGGAAGAACAGATAAGACGGTTTTGGTAAAAAATGTCAAGAATTAGCGCCACAAAATCCATTGCCTTTAAGTTCAACAACAAGGTCAAGTTAAAAAGTCTGATCATATTTCCAAGCAAGCTCCTTTGGAATAAGAGCTTACACGGTATCGCCTGCGTTTGATAAGGAAGCTGATTCCCTATAAAAAGAGTACAATAATTCTATAAATATAGGTACTAGAAATGTTCTTTACGGTCCCCTCTCCGATTCGACCCTAGTAAAGTGAGAATGCCCGAGATATGGGCCCCAGCTCGCCTCCATGCCAGTCGCTTCTACAGTTTCTCGTACAGTTATACGGTGGTGAACGTTGGCCTCTGCCATTCAATGAGCGTTAAGGACTTTCACACGCTGCCATCGGCATGACGGTCCTACTTCGTGTATATTTTCCTCCCACGAGTGACAGCCTTTTTCTCCTAGAATAGCCAGAAATCCCATTCAAACTTCGATAGTTTCCGAAAAATGCCTTGGGAGTTCTGTCACTACTACTGTGCTCCTTCTTCCTGACTGGATCGTGTCATTTGGCATCAGCAATAAGCTGGGGTATTATCTCCGACGTGACAATTGCACAAGTTTGGTCCTTCGCTCTAAGGTTTTGAGTAACTATTTTGTTTCGTTTGTCTGGTGGACAGCTTTACAACATGCATTTAATGTTACAGTTTTAACATTTTTGATGCCACAACATGCGTGTAAACAAATAGAGAGTTCAAGGTTGCACACTTACATTTTCCTCCAATAAACCGAAATGAACTGAAAATGTATGCCATCTAAGTTGTCATTTTTTGCCGAGCGTGCAGCGCAAAGAAGCTCGGTCGAAAGCCGGCGACTTAAATATGCTGCGCGTTAACTAATATTACATCCCCACTCAGTTCTCCTTCCTAACCGGGACCACAGTTTAGAATTTCACTTAATTCTTCCTTTAATGGGTGAGAGCAGCTAAGGGAGTAGAAAGTTTTTCCATCCCAAGTCAGCAGACTACTACGCAATACACACTCCTGTACCCTCACTGCCACCACCACCACCACCACCACCACCTATGCCGCGGTCCGCCACGACTCAGGCT